AATAATTTATCCTCTAGGGAAGGGGAAATTCCCTTCTCTTCTTCCAAGGGCTCACAGAGGAAGCCCAGATATTGCCAGATCTTCTACCCAGATTGCTCCTTATACCCCAGGGCTTCCCCACTGGAATGGGATTCTACTATGGCTTAGGGTCCATTGACCACCTTAGATGACCCCAAGAGCAAATGGGACTCAACACTGAGTGTTGTGCTGGTTACTTAGCTGGTCTGAACTCACTGGTGTTTGGTGCAAGGTCAGCGTCTGGGAAGGAATGGCTGAATGGAGGGAGGAGATAGGATGATAGCTGATATGGTGAAACATGTAGCCTGCCCCTTCCTCCTACGACTTCCATCATCATCAGTCAAGAAGCATAAACCCAGAGGGCGAAGGAGATTCCTCTCTTTCCTGGGCTACCCCCTACTGCTTATCTTCTAAAACTTCCCTCCTCAGCAGTCAATCTGTCCATATTGCCAGGGGCACATCGAGAAGAGTATTTCTGAGCACAGTAAAGAGATACTGTTAAAGCTAAAGGCCCAGGATCTGGGGCGCACAGCCTGTGCAGATGGCCAAATAAAGAGCAGCACATGGCTAGAGACATCAGCTCTGTCTCAGCATTTCTGTCAAACAGAGATTGCCCAGGCCAGCTCCTTCCTGGGGTCTTATTCTACTTTTCTAAAACTACTGATAAATAAAATAAAAGAGTTTAAGAGCCTGAGAGAACCATGGAGTGGCAAGTCCAGAAGAGAGGCGTATAGATTCAGGGTCTTTTTCATTAGTATTTTACAACCGAGAGTATGTTCACCCAAAGACAAAAAATATGAACTGATTTATCCATCATTGACGCTGGTGTTTACACAACTGTACTCCTGCCTTCTTTTTATCCTTCTCTGATGATGTCCAGCCAGAGGATCAGCAGACCAACAGGCTGTTAGCTTCTGTTACACTCAGGACCTCTCACTGCTGGCAAACCGACTTCCTGGAGGTATCAAGTGGCCCGTACATTTTATCACTCCTGAACTGTGCCTCCCACGAAAGAAAAATAAAAAGGATCTGGCCTTGCAGAGTTGAGCCACTGGCCCAGGAAAGGGCAACTTCTTTCTTTCTTTGCAGGTTTTTTTTGGCCGGGGCTGGGTTTGAACCCGCCACCTCTGGCACATGGGGCCGGCGCCCTACTTGTTTGAGCCACAGACACCGCCCATTTCTTTCTTTTTTTAAATAAGAGATGGTGATTGATAGGAAGCAGAAGGAACAACACTACTATGCTAAGACTTTCAATGAAAAAGTTCTCTCTGCAAAAGCAGACAAACCCCAAAGTGTATATACCCCATGATTTCTACTTATACAAGTTCAGAATCGGATAAACATCTCCCGTGGTGTTGAGAGTCTACAGGTACTTAGCTCTCTGTAGGAAGTAGGCAATAATCATTGGAATAAAAATAAGGAGGCCTTCAGGGATGCTTGTCCACATTTTATTTTGATCTGTGTGGTGGGCATATGACTGTGTTCATTTTGTGATAATTCACCACATTGCACATTTAACAATTTTTGTGATTATTTATATGTATTTTATCCATTGACAAAATGAATTCTCTGTATAAGATAGAAAGTAATTAACGCTTTATTGCCACCTGCTTGCAGAATCTAATTCATATACATTGGGCCAGACACTAAAAAAAAAAAAAAGCCAAAAAACCCAAGAAACTCATAAGCCTATTTTTTCACCTTACACGTTTTTCCCTGTTTTCAATTTCAGTCAGAGGTTTTTTTCCAGGCAGAATTTCCTTGAACCTCAGGGCCTAATCAAGCCTTTTTCTACACTTGGCCAATCTCTGGATTGGCCAGATTCTGTCTGCAGTCCCACAGAGAGAACAAGTAAGTAATCCTCAGGCCTCCCAGGTCTGACATGGAGGAGGAGTAGAGACCTAGAGAGTGCAGGAAAAGTTAAGGAACTTTCTCCAAATTACACAATGAGTTGCTGGGGGGCCTTTTGATTCTCAGTCTGAGGACTATCACTTTTCTACTACATCTCATTCCACAGGGGCCAATTAATCAACATTCTCCTTTGGGGAACGAAGAAAAATGAACCCAGTAACCTTCACTGCTCATTCTTTGCATACAAAGTACACAAAAGGGTTTACCAAGTTCCTCTCCAACAGGAAATCATTTGTCTCAGAGAGCCAGGAAGAAGAGGAGAGAAGTGCTGAGTCTGCAACAAGGGCATTGCAACACAGCCCAGTGTTTTTTGGAAACGCTGTTCCCCTAATCAAAACACAGTTGCATAAATGGACTCACTCCACTTAAGAAAAAAAAGAAAAGTTGTTTAAAGCCTATAAATGGGGACCACACAACCCTGATTAATTTTTAAAGTTCCTTCTCTGCTTTTTTTTTTTTTTTTAGAAAGTAGCTAAAAATAAAGGCTCGAAACTTGAAATAATGTAAGCAAGTAATCACCCACACACAACTGGGCTTTTCCCATATATGGCTGTGTTATTCTTCAGGCTCTGAAAAGGCCAAATGAAGAGATGGCCAACAACCAAAATAATCCTTCAGACGTTTGAAAACGAAGAGAAAGAACTAGAAGAGTTGGTGAATGACAAACAATTGTGAGGCTCAATGGGGATAAGTAACACTGAGAGGGATTTGTTGCCATAGAACTTTAAAAACATGAGCACATGCATTTTGACACTGCCCCTTCTATAAAGAGACTGTTTGGCCCTCTGGCCTCAGCACTGAGAAAACTACAACTGCAGTAATTTAACATAAAGGACTTAAAGAAGGAAACCAGTGCAGGGGCATGACTGAAAATTTAATTAAGGCCCTTCCCAGTATTGAATCTGTAAAGGAGATGAAAACACATCTCAAGGTCAGAAAAAAGGTAGGGAGACTTGCAAATGATTAATATGAAAGCTTAAGTAGCAGAGGTCAGCCCTGGAGGTCAGCTTCCTTCTGATAGATGGTTATTACAGGGCCTGTTGGGTTCTACTTGAAGCGTCCCCGTAGAGAAGATTAAAACATTCATGTCAAACAAATGCCACCTTGTATGAAGCAGAGGGGAAAAGTCCCACGTTCACAGTGCTCTGTGGTTTACGAGACCTTGTCAGATGTAATCCTGGATACCGGGTAGAGCACCTGCTTCTACTGATACAGAAATTGAGGTTCAAGGAGGTTAAGTGACTAACACAAGCTCTATGAAGGGTGGCTCAGCGCAACAGGGCTAGGGGAGCAACCAGAGGCTAAACCTGCTAACATGCAGGCCAGGGCTCCTTCTCCTCACACAACCTTTGAAACAACACTGGAAAGACTGTGAGTTTAGGTCTGGACTGTGCTCACTAACTCGCTCTCTGTGATACCACGGACAAGTCATTTCCTCTCTTCTGATTCTCATTTTCAAGTGAGAAATGACAGGACTGTCAAACAACAGGAGGCATACAAGCAGGAACCGAGGGAGTCGCTCTGATCTCTGCGTTTTTCTGTGAGTCTGTTCTTGCAGATCCTGAGATGGGCCTTACAGGCACGAGGACCACTTCATTAATGGGACAGCCTTTGTGTGATAGGCTAGAATATATGCACGGAATGTAGAAAAATAATTTCCAACAGAGTGAAAAACCTCTTCAATTTTCAAAAAATATCATAACACACTGTAATCCTAGCACTCTGGGAGGCCAAGGCAGGTAGACTGCTTGAGCTCAGGAGTTTGAGACCAGCTTGAGAAAGAGTGAGACCTCATCTCTACTAAAAACAAACTTGTGACAGGCACCTGTGGTCCTAGCTACTTGGGAGGCTGAGGCAGGAGGATCACTTGAGCCCAGAATCAAGCTTGCTGTGAGCCTGGGGCAACAGAGTGAGTACTCTGCATCAAAAAGTAAATATACAGGCTTGGCACCCGTAGCACAGTGGTTACAGTGCCAGTCACATACACTGAGGGTGGTGGGTTAGAACCTGGCCCAGGTCAGCTAATTAACTGCAACAAAAAAAAGGCAGGCATTGTGGCGGGCGCCTGTAGTCCCAGCTACTCAGGAGGCTGATGCAAGAGAATTACTTAAGCCCAAGAGTTGGAGGTTGCCTCTGGTTACTACCCTAGCCCTCCTGTACTGAGCCACCCTGCATAGAGCTTGTGTTAGTCACTTAACCTCGTTGAACCTTAATTTATGTATCAGTAAAAGCAGGTGCTCTACCTGGCATCCAGGATTATGTCTGACAAGGTCTTATAAACCACAAAGCACTGGGGGGGGTGACGCCATGGCACTCCACCAGGGGTGACATAGTGAGACTCTGTCTCAAAAAAAAAAAAAAAAAGTAAATATACATTTATTACAATGAAAACTACTGGAGAGGCAACGTGGACTCTAATTTTTCACCTAACTGATTTTTTCTTTTTCATTCCCTAAGGGATGGCCCAGCCTTATGATGCTTCAGATTCTTTTTCTAAAAAGACATCCCACTTTTTGGTGACAGCACATGCTTCTAATGGTTTTCCCATGCTTACCCATAAAAGATTTCTACGTGGATAGAGACTCAGGGATCATTTACTGAGGGCCTGTAGTATATGACGCCTTCCTGTCATCCTTAATCTGTACAGCTGAGTTCGGTGTTACTATCTCCATTTTACAGATCAGAAAACTAAGGCTCAGAGAAGTTTAGTGACTTGGCCAAAGCAGGCCATCTGAATAACTGCAGGGCTGGAATTTAAACCATCATCTGGCTGATTCCAAAGTCTGTTCTTTCTCTTTCTGCTCCATTATGAGGCCTCTTATCGGCTTACGATGCTCATCAAATACTCTGGGCAACGCTGCTTGTTCATGATGTTTTCTCGTCACTATTTTGCAGCAAGGAATACCTTCCAGGTGGTCATAAAGTTCTCCCACTAAGATTCCAGCTGGAGGATGAGCAGGGTGGATACCAGGTGGGCTGGGCTGATGCAAGGGCAAAGTGACCCCACATGCTTTCCCCCTGTACCCGAGGGATCAGGTTCAGAATCGTCATTTTATTTTCAAACCACTAACCTGGTGAGGCACAAGCCCTAGAGAGGTTGGAGGCTCATTCATGCGATCGTCACTGCTGCTGGCAATGGCATAGCCCCTGAGGAAAGGAAATAATTAAAGCTGTTCACTTAATCAAAGTTTATGTTTAACTTATGTGAAGAAGATCTGGCAGACATCCCTGTAAAATTTATAAGGATGACTAAAAATGTCCCTTGCTGGGCACCATAAGCTAGCAAAAAACTAATTTCCCTGGGAGGGAAAGTAAAAGAAGTAATACAAAAAATGCATGGTTTGGAGCCAGAAAGATGAGAACCTGCGACCACAGGCAAGGTGCTAACTTTCTCTGTGTTCAGGGTCATCATCTCTAAAGGAGGAATAAGAGGGTTGTGATGAATAAATCAGGAATATGCTATTTACTAGATGAACTGCCAAAAGGAATGTCTGGCATGTGATAGGCAATAAATATTAACTCCTCTGCTCTGAGATGTGTCAGACGTAAAACACCACAGCACATTTCTGCATTGAGATTTTGAAGTGGGAAACTGTCTAACCTTAACTTATTGAGTTGCTATAAATGTTACCAAAATGAAGGAATAAAGATGAAAAACAACTAGGCAGGAGAAATAATGTGCTCTTTCCCAAGCATCACTAGTATCACAAAAGAAATGAAACACGGCACCTAGTGTTTCAGGGAAAATGCAGACACAGGGTCAGGGGTAAGGGAGCATAAAATCAGTTCTCAAGGATTTTATCCCTAATACTTTTTGTCAGGAGGGGACACTAAACAGGGATAGCTAAGGTGGGTGACAAAGATAAGAAGAACACAAAAAAAAATGAAATGCTTTCCATTTAACTTGGAGGACCTGCACTAGTTACATACACTACCGAAATTGCACAGTGGTCATCTTTTCAACTGCATGGACAAGCTCTGAGTCACATAATAAATAGAATATTCATGTTAATTTGTGTGTTGACTTTCTGAGAACTGGAAAAATAAATCTTTGAAAAATTCGATCTTCTCCTTCCTGTATTACAAACAGCCCAACATAGTGATCAAAAACAGTTGGGAAGCCGCACTGGCTGGGCGAAACCCTGACTGTGCCACTGACTATGTGAGGTCAGCTACTTACTCTACTGATACTATTTCTCAATATTCCCTCATCAGAAACAGGACTAATAATAATTCTTTCTTCATAGGTTTGCTATGAGGAGTAAACGAGGAGATATTTGTAAAGAGCTTAGAACAGTGCCTAGCAAAAAGTAAGCATTATATAAATGTTTAAAAAAGCAAATAAATCACAGTGTATTTGTCATGTATTCAGCTCTGACTATGAGAGCTTAATTACTGAAAAATTGAAAAAGTGGTGCGGTACTGGTGGACAAGGTGATCAGGACCAATCTTCCAATTGAGAGTAAATAGAAAAGCTAAACAAAGTGTAAAAACCTACATTTGAATGCGTCAGAGAGCTACCAAGGAAGGAAGAATTACAGAGCCACGATCCATGAGAGGAGAGAGGCCCATAAAGGTACAGTAGGCACTTGCAGGGGAACGTACCCTCACAAAGGGATTGCCAACCTCCAAAAGCAGTGGCCACAGGATCAGAAGCTTAATAGTAATACTGACAGACTTACGGGGTGAGAGGGAAAACTGGATAATGGGGTCTGCCAATCGGGAGCAACCAGGAAGGATACCCCAAGCTTTGGGCTGGGCTCACTAGGGGATACTTCTTCAGAGTAGGATGAACTATAATAGACCAGCCCTGATCAGATTAAAGTGTTCAGGAACTGCTAGTGCACTTACCCTACTGGTTGGCCAAAAAAACCCAAATGTAAATATCATCTCTACAATTTGCATTTATAATGTCTAGTATTGCCTTAAAAATAACCAAACATATTCAAGGTACTGAGGAAATTTAAATACTAATTGGATATGTGATATTAAAGAATTGCCTTTGTTTTTATATGTAAAGATAGTAGTAATATATACTAAAAAGATACATTTTTACAAATGACATACTTAGATTTCCTTTAAAATAAGCCAGCAATCTACAGACACATGAAAAAGTGCTCATCATCTTTAATCATCAGAGAAATACAAACCAAAACCACTTTGAGATCATCTAACTCCAGTAAGAGTAGCCCACATCACAAAATCCTAAAACTACAAGTGTTGGCGTGGATGTGGAGAAAAGGGAAAACACTTCTGCACTGCTGGTGGGAACGCAAGCTAGTACGTTCCTTTCGGAAAGAAGTTTGGAGAACATTCAGGGATCTAATTGTAGACCTGCTGTTTGATCCTGCAATTCCTCTACTAGGTATATATCCAGAAAATCAAAACTCACTTGGCAAGAAAGATATTTGCACCAGATTGTTCATTACAGCTCAATTCATAATTGCCAAGTCATGGAAGAAGCCCAAGTGCCCACTGACCCATGAATGGATTAATTAATTGTGGTATATGTATGCCATGGAATACTATGCAGCATTAAAAAAAGATGGAGACCTTACCTCTTCTATGTTTACATGGATGGAACTGGAAAATCTTCTTCTTAGTAAAGTATCTCAGAATGGAAAAAAAAATATCCAATGTACTCAGAAGTACTATGAAACCAATTTATGTCACAACACACTTTCATGTGACAGATGAATCACAACTATAGCCCAGGATGAAGGAGGGAAGGGGAACGGGATGGGAAGGGAGGGAGGGTTAATGGTGGGACCACACCTATGGAGCATACTGCAAGGGTACAAGTCAGATCTATAGAACACAAATGTCTTAACACTGTGATTAAGTAAATGAGGTGAAAGCTATGTTAATTAGTAGGATGTAAGCACTCCAATTTGTACAAATAATCAACACATTGAATCCCACACAGGCATAAATGTATTCATGATCTATGTATATATGACTTAATAAGAAAAAAAAATAAAATAAGCTAGTCAGAGGAGAAAAAATGTGGACAGCAGTAAGACAGTATATACAAATGACGACTGGCCATATGTTAGTAATTGCTGAAGCTGGGGGGTGTACACAGGGGAGATACATACACACACACAATGCCAAAAAAGTATACATATTTTAAGAAAGGACAAAACTGTATTAAAATTGTGATACTCAATAAATATTGATGTTTAGTTATCTTGTATCTCTTATCATTGCAGAAATTGAATGTGTTTTGAGTATTACAATTGTAAAACTTATTTTTCTTCTTTCTTAAACTATGTATACGTATTTTTGACACCTTCTCTGTGTATGTATACACAAATATCTTTTTTTAAAAGGACAGAGTCTTACTTTGTCGCCCTTGGTAGAATGCTATGGCGTCAAAGCTCATAGCAACCTCAAACTCTTCAGCTTAAGTGATTCTCGTCATAGCTCATAGCAACCTCAAACTCTTCAGCTTAAGTCATTCTCGTCTCAGCCTCCTGAATAGCAGGGACTACAGGTGCTAGCCACAATGCCTGGCTATTTTTTAGAGATGGGTCTTATTGTTGTTCAGGCTGGTCTTGAACTCTTGAGCTCAAGCAATTTACCTGCCTTGCCCTCCCAGAGTGCTAGGATTACAGGAGTGAGCCACCACCCCTCCTTGCCCTTGACTTTTACATAATAAAAAGGGTTTTTTGTCTTTTTAAAGACCAGTTATATAAGAAGACAATATGTGACCAGAAACCAAGAAAAACAACATTCAATAAGAAGAGACCCATGGGGATTCAGATAATGGAGATATTTGATAAACACTTAAAAAAACCATAATTAAATGTTTCCAAGGAATCAAAAATATAAAAATAACAATTTCAGCAGAGAATAAGATCAATTAGAAATTCTTGACTTGAAACACAATAATGAAATTAAAAACTTGATGGACAGTTTTAACATATATTATACACAGAGGAAGAGAGGATTAGTAAACTAGAAGGTAAGTCAAAAGCAAACTGCTGGACTGAAGCAAAGAAAGACAAAATGATTGAAAATACAGAAAAGAGCATGAAGGACACATAGGTTGAATCTAATTGACATGCAACTGGCGTCTCAAAAGAAAAAGAGAAAAAGAATAGGGCAGAAGCAACATTTTAAGGAAAAAAATGTGTTAGCAAAACTAAATGAATACCAATTATGTAACGATAATAATACTGCTTAGGTCTAAAATAGAAAGAAAAATTTTAAATGAGCCTGCAGACATTCCTGGTTGCCTATCCAATATCCATGCTCCTCTTCTCCTTTATTATAATTTTATTCCGAGAGGCAATGTGCCCCAACCACAAGAAAACTGCACTTGGCCGCCTTCCTTGCAGCTACGAGAGGACATGTGATACAGAATTAGAATCAATGAGTGTCTTCCAGGAAAGCTCTTTTAAAGGGGGCATACTCAGAGGCACATAAAAGGCAACGTTTGTCCTTTAGTCATGGCCTTCTAAACTGTAACACAGAAGCGATACTGAAGGCAGAGCAGCCATCCTGTGACCACAAGGTGACGAGCAAAGTGAAGAAAGCCAAGTGGCTAAGTGAGAAGAAACTCAAGATCCTGGTATCATAACGAAGCCTTTCTACCAGCCCCAGACTGCCTGCCTCTGAACTTCGTGCTCCATAGAAAAGATGCAGCCTCATTTGGCTGAATCACTGAAGATGGCTCTCTGATACTTACAGCAGAATACAGTTTCTAACATAAATGATTCATGTACTCCCTTACAAGTGTTCAGGGATTAAAACAAAACAAAACAAAACAAAAACCTTACTAACCAAAAAAAAGCATAAAGGGCCTACACTCCCTACCAAAGATTTTATTCTCCCTTATTAGCAATTTCCAAATAACTCTAGAATTCAGCTCCGAAAGGATGCAGATATGAAACCCCAAAGACTACAGGACAAGTTCTTTTAGGCCACAGAACCAGACCTGGTTTTTTAAGTCTTGTTTTATTGTTTTTGCTTTTTGAGGAAAGAGCAATAATTAGAAGTTAGATTGAGAAAAGGCCAAGGGAGACACTGATGATCCACTGCCTACAAAAGCTTTGTTTCAACACCCGTCTCCAACCCACAGACTCACCCTTCTGGGTGCTGCAAAACAGAAACCATCAGTTCCACCGCCAAAGCTCCTGCAATCATGGCCAGTCCTGGGCGACTCACGGTGCATTGCTGGTCCAAGGTCCGGTCTCTGGTGGACTGCAGAGAAACAATCACTGCTATGTGCCTAAAGTTCTAGTCCATTCAACTCTAGCTGTCGTCTGAAGCATGAAACTCCTCCATGATAAAGCTTTAAAATGTAACCAGATGCTCATTGTTGGCAAAGAACATTCAGCTTCAAGTAACATCATTTCTTGCGATTATCAAGATAAACAAAATATATGATTTAGGTAACTAGACGAGGTAATATGCTTAAAAGGATTAGCAGCTTAAACAAATTAAGGATTTGGAGAAAATCAACCAAAAATGCAGGCTTAGCTGCATAGCTGCATTACATGTGCCATTAATGGACTCAGTTCAATTCCACTGTGCTTGGGAGCTAGGAGATAGAATACTAATAAGTGATTCTGCCCTGCCATTCTGAGTTAATGGTCTCCGAGTTACTGTGAGATGAGAGCAGTCATTTACGATTCCTGCAGTCCCCAGTTCTATATGCCTCAAACAATGTGGGCATCTCCTCACTCTGAGTGTGATGCTAAAGTTATAACTACAAGGATCTTTTTCTACAACGGGGCTCCAAACACAAGCCTTCACTGGTCCAACCAAAGAAATCTAACCTTCCAACTGTGGGCAACTTAGGAGGTTTTTAGAGATAATCTTGACTCTGAAAATGTCACCTTGTGAACAGGTAAGATTTTACTGCAATGGACCTCTGGTCCAATTTGTTGGCAGTGACTAAATAGCAAGACCAGTTGGATATTACTACACCGTGATGGAGCTCCGCAAGCCATCCACAGAAGAGAATGATTATGATCTCTTAATTTTTTTTTTATATTGGGAGGAAATAAAAGCCAGTCACCTAAGAGGTCTCAGCTAATAAGGAACAAGTTTTAAAAGAAAGGAAAAATAGAGGGGAGGGTACAGAAAACATCTCTGCTTTGCTTCACTGGAAATTATTATCTGTTCTGCCAAAAAAAAAAAAAAATTCCTACAGACTGGCTCATGTGGCGTCACAGAAGCTGCAGAATCTTGCACTTGTTTGGTGTGGTCTTGCTGTTCAAAGCACCTTCACACTTGACCCTCTCTGCACAGTGAGTTGACAGGACAAGTATTCTTCCCTCTCCTACCAGGAGTGCCAAATAAAATATAAGATGCGCAGTTAAATTTGAATTTCAGATAAACAATAAATAGTGTTTAGTAGGAAGAGGTTTCAAATATTGCATGGGATATATTTATACCAAAAAAGTATTATTTTTACTTGAAATTCAAATTAGCTAGGAATCCTGTATGTTTACTTACTAAATCTGTCAAGCCTATGTTCCACTCCCATTTTGCAGAGCATAGCAACCTAAGAGACTTACTCAGAATCACCTGTGAGACGGTGTCAAGGCCTGCATGGAATCTGGGTCTTTAAACTCTTGGTCTTGCTCTGTTGTCCAGCACGTAGCCCAGTGGTGATGTCATAGCTCACAGCAACCTCACTTCTCCTGGGCTCAAGGGATCGTTCTGGCTCAGGCTCCTGAGCAGCTGGGTCTACAGGCATGCACCACTATGCCTGGCTAATTTTTTTCTATTTTTTGTAAAGACAAAGTCTTGCTGTTTCTCAGGCCAGTCTCAAACTTCAGGCCTCAAGCAATCCTCCTGCCTCAGTCTCCCAAACTGCTAGATTACAAATGTGAGCCACTGTGCTCATCCCCTAGACTCATCATTTTTAGCGCTCTCTTTAGTAAGATAAGCACAGGAGACAATGCTGAGTGCTGTCAGGGAACAGCCTATGCTGTACTTTCCTGAGTTTTCCACCAAAATGGTTTGTAGCTCCTTTTACATTGGTGAACAAAAAACAACTGTACAGCTGATGATGCCAATCAAGTTTTGCAGTGGGATAATGTCATTCATCATTTCCAAACTGGAGAATTCTTCTCTTTGTTAAAAGGCAATATTTAGTCATAAATAAAACACCTGGGCCTCTCTGCCTCAGTGCCCAAAATGGTCAGAGGAAATACAGAAATAGGAACTAGACAGAAATCCACTTACATCTCCTGGGGCCACCACATCGTTGCAGAAATAGCAGCCAAGCTTATAACCAGGAATGTTGGCAAAAAGTGACGAGCCCAGGATGTCAGCAGATGCCACAGGGTGGCTTGGACACAAGTCCCCGGCTCCCTGATGCTTTGGCTTCTTTAGGCCATGTCTCATGACAACAAATGTGTCAAATCCCAAGGCAGCATTGATGACCAGCTGCAGATTCAAGGAATAAAGGAACAGAGTTAAGAGACACATATATTTGAAGATGTGGCTAATTCTTTGTTTGGTGAAAAGGCTAAAAATCTAAATTATTTAAGATTTACTTTTTGCATATGAGTATAACTAGATTCTAAAAGCTAATTATGGTAAAAGCTACCGAATACTGCGGGCTTATGAAGTACAAAAGACTTGATAAGTGATTAACATAAACTACCTCACTTACTTTCATTTAAAACTCCCAACAGACACTCCCCATTTATAGATGAGGATACAGAAAGTCAGAGAAGTTAGCTCTGTAATTTCTTCAGAGTCACTTAGTTGGTAGAGGGAGGTGCATTAAACCAAGTCTACAGTTCTGAAACCCATTTTTTCCACCATTGTGCTATATTCTGTCACATCCTTATAGCTTTGTTTTTGTAACAGCTTTACTGAGATGTAATTCACATACTATCTAATTCATCCTCCACATAAATTTTTAAAGACAGATTTTTTCCTTTATAACAACTTTTATTAGATGTAATTTAACTTGTTCCCCCAAATTTCTAACCACATAGAAACAATGAAAAATAAAGAAATATCATACTAGAAAAGAAAATAAAAATTACTCACTATCCACAGCTCAAGTAATTGCTGTTAATAGTTTAGAGCCTTTTAGTGCATTATTTTCTCTCTTTCCCCTCCACTCCCTTGCCTGCTTTCTTTTCTCTTGCTCATTTTCCTTACTCTTTCTCCACATAGTAGGGGGAGGAGGCAGACATAAAAGTTGCTATATAACTGATATAAAACACATACAATCCTGCGTCTTGCTTATTTAACATAATGTGGTATTTTCTATGTTATTAAAATTCTTTGAAAACAGAACTGTGAATGGCTGCATACTATTCCATCACGGATATACACCCTGGTTTAGTTGTTTAATACTATTGGTTCCTGAAGTTGTCACTGTCCATATAGCAGTAAGTACGAAAAAGTCTCTGTCCTCTGGGAACTTGTATTTTAATGTAAGTATGGCACACCTTTCAGTGTAGGGTACCTCAAAGGACTGTTATGAAAATTAAGCAGTAGCTGATACTTATTATACTGGGTGATGGTGAGTGATGCAATGACACAGTCTGCAGCGAAAGCCCTTTGGCACTACGTAGAAGGTCAGCAGGTCACTGTTTCCTGGAGGGGTGGTAGGGTTGGGAACATGGCTCCCTCTGGGGTAGCAGTACGTTAAGTCACAATGAGAGACAAATGCCACCACATTCTACTTTTCTCTCTTCTTTTTTACTTTTCTCTTTCTTAATAGACAAGGTCAGGCTATGTTGCCCAAGCTGGCCTCCAACAATCCTCCCTCCTTAGCCTCCTTAGTAGCTGGGACTACACATACGTGCCCCCGCACCCCTCTTACTCTACCTTTCTCTTGCTTGCAGCGATGACAGTGGGAAGCCATCGGCTCTCCCTGGTATCCATCAATAGGAAAATGACATCATGACTTTCGATGAGTTGCTCCAGCTGCCCCACATCCCTGTGGGCTTGCTCCAAGGTGACGCTGGAGAAGTTCACCGGATGTCCAGGCATGGGGATACTCATGTTGAACCCTCTAGCGTTCTAGGGAAACACAGAGTACACTGATGTCTAAAGCAAAGGGACAGGGGACATCTCAGAGCCCACCAGCACACACGCCTGGCCACTTATATCAGAAACTTCCCCACGTGCGATTCTGCTGCTTTTCCTCACCCTGTCTGCACCATCCACCTCTTCACCTGTGTATCCCAGACCAGTCAACTTGTCACCCCAGGGGCCCTGAGGCAGGGTGAGGCAGCAGAGACCTATGGATCACACTTTCAGAAAAGAGGAGGCCACTTCCTGTCTGTGGTAAGGAAGACACTGGAGGAAAACTGTGTCTCTGTGGCCCTTTCCTGCCACAATACCGTTTGCCTGCTCAAGTTCTCTCTTTCCACCGAGGCTCTTTCTCTACCTGCTCCCAAATTGCCCTCCTCTCCATTTCTTCAGTGAATCATCTCCAAATGAGGTATGCCACCAAAAATAATTTGATTTAATAAATTTGCATAAGGTTAGAATGACTGATAATCATGCCTTAATCCTCTCAGGAGTATACACATGTTTTAAGTACTCAAAAACAAAAACTCTACTTGCTAACTTATAACCAGAAAATCTACTTAGGAGTATGTTGATATGGGGGGTGGTGTGGTGGTGAAGGGGTTGGGATGGGCAACAGCAGAGTGTGGTACAGAGGTGACGGTCCATTCCCTGTACAAAACTAGAAGCTTCCCAGCAGCCCAAACTGTCCTGAATTGTCCACAGGGCTTCAGAACAGCTCTACAATTTTCTATCTGCCCCTTGATGACTCCATAATGTCTTAGCACATCAACAGTGAGTCACAAAAGGGTGCTAATGAAGCCAGGGACACTGACTTTCCACAGAAAAGAAAGTGTTCTAGAACTATAAACTGCACCCTTCACTTCTGCATATCACTGGCCATAGGTAAATAAGTGTGTGAAAACATAGCTTTTTCATTCGTTTGCCAAAATCTCTCATGTCACTACAATAATAGCTTAAGGGGCAAGACAAGTCTTTTCACAAAGGAAAATCTATTGATAATCTGAAGATTGCAGATATTTTCTCCTGATTATCAATTTAACCTAAATCCTTGGAATGCAAGTAAGAGATGGCAACAATTTCAAAAAGAATGAAAAAGAAAGTAAAGCAAGAAAGGACACCAGGGCGAAGGGACTTCAGAAAGAAGAAAGGTTCACAAACCAGTCCCTTTTAAGAATAATTCACAGGCAGTGCCTGTGGCTCAGTGAGCAGGGCACCAGCCCCATATACCAAGGGTGGTGAGTTCAAACCCTGCCCCGGCTAAACTGCAACAAACAATAGCTGGGTGTTGTGCTGGGCACCTGTAGTCCCAGCTGCTCGGGAGGCTGAGGCAAGAGAATTGCTTAAGCCCAGGAGTTGGAGGTTGCTGTGAGTTATGACGCCATAGCACTCTACCAAGGGCGATAAAGTGAGACTCTGTCTCTAAAAAAAAAAGAATAACACCATCCAGAGACAACTACCAGGATCTCACTAATTCATTAAATGTTGTACATCTACCGGGTACCAAATACTACCATAAACAATAAAAAAACAACGATGACAGTAATAACACCTGTAACAGCTTACTGGCATATTCTAACTGACAAAGCATTTTACACGACGGTTCCTTGATCTAAAAAGCTATTATGTATACATTTTAATAACACCAAGATGGAAGCATAATTATCCAATACCAATTACAGACTTTTCAGTAACTGATCCTTACCCACATAAACTTTGCTAACTAAGTGATGTCCACGTACTCTCCCAGTAAGCTGACGGGAGCCAACCTGTATGGTCCACACCCTGCAGGCTGGAATTCAGCAAGTTTCAACACACTAGTTTCCACCTTGGCCGTATGCAGAACCACCTAGAGAGTCTTAAAAATTCCTAATGCCTGGGCTTTTCCTCAGACCATTTAAGCTGCAATCTCTAAAAGTGAGTCCAGGTATTAATATTTTCTAAAACCCTCCCGATGGCTCAAAGGAGTAAGCGAAGGCGAGGAGTAACATAAAGTACAATACGCAGCTCTCACATGTATAGTTCAAAGTATTCCGACAAACTGCAGGTTAACGTATCAAGATACAGAACACTGCGGAGCCTGCGGCTGACTCTGACCCAACAAAAGAAGAAAGAAGAAAGGGGAATAAAGACGTAGCACGTGCCCACGACCCCAGAGCACGCTGTTGTACCCCTTCCTAGTCAATTCCCACTACCCCTGGACAACCTCCCTTCGGACTTTATGAGCCATAGGCTAGTTTTGCCTATTCCAAAACCTGGTATAAATGATATCCCGGAGTATATTCCTGCCTGTGTTTGGCTTTTTTTTATGCTTAGCATAATGCTTTTGAGTTTCATCCATATTGTTAAGTATCAATAGTATGTCCCTAAAAAAAAAAAAAAAAAAAGTATATTCCTTTTTATTGTGCAACTACACCACCATTTGTTTATTCATTCTCCTGTTAATGGTTATTTCTCCATTTTATTATAAATAAAGCTGCCTATGGACATTTTCCTACAAGTAATTTAGTGTGTGTGTATTTTAGTTCCTTCAGGTAAATATCAAAGTGTGCTGTCTGGGTCATTAGGAAGTGTGTGTGCTTGACTTCATGAGAAACACCCAGACTGACAGCAGCAGAACAGGACAGCTTTGGTTGTTCCACAGCCTGACAACATTTAGGACCGCCAGACTTCTGCATTTTAGCCATTTTAGTGAGTGTGGAGAGATGTATGTCCATGGCTTTAATCTGTATTTCCCTGATGCTGGCTGAGGGTAAGCACTTTCATCAGCTCACTCGCCAGTCACAATCCTCACTATGAAGTCAGCACCTGTCCAGGCCTTTTGTCCCTGGTGAGCCCGTCTCACGTATATGGAGCTCTTTATGTAGTACTCTGGATGAAAGCTTTTGTCAAATACATTCCCACAAATGTTTTCTCAGTTTGGCTTCTTACTGACATCTTTTGAAAAGCAAAAGTTTTTAATTTTGATAAAGTCAAATTTTTCCTTTATGGTTCGTATTTATTAGGTCCCAAGAAATCTTTGCCTATCACAAGACCACTGAGATGCTTTCTCGTAGAAGCCTTATAAGTTTTAGCTTTTATCTTCTGTGGCCTTTCTGGTTGTCACTTAAGAGCTCAGAATATTCAACAGGCCCTCTTCTCTCTGGGCAGCTGGCACTCCAGTATCCCCCAGCCCGCGGGAGTTCTGGAATCTCTGCTCTGCCCACAGCTCCCGGCAGTGTTTTCCACCCAGGCTGCTGACAGAGTCCTGCCTTGAGCATTCATCACTCACTACTCAGTCAAAGACTCAGATGCTGCCAGGCAATTTTCTGGAACTCTTCTGCGCAGGTCCCTATGTCTGGTACTACATCTTTCAGCCACCTCAGCTGCTTTGACCTCTGTTCCCTCCACTCATCAAGACCAAGAGTACCTCATAAGGCTCCTATGGGCTCTGGCATGGGCCAGAAAGAGCCTCCCTGTAATGAGAGGGGTCAAATCCTTCCCTGTGTGGAAAGACAGCCTTTCACTACCTATTCACTGTCTGAAATGAGTTACTTTATGTATTTTTTCCAGGTGCATAACTGTTTATGGTGGGAGAGCTTAGCCTAGTATTAGTTACTGATTAAGGTTGGAAGCAGATGTCCAGAATTGGATTTTAAAACCTCAAAATCCAAACCTCATAATCTTAAATTGTATTGCCTTGTTTTAAAAAATACGGTGACCTCAAATAGTTAAATTTCATTTATAAAATACAAGTTGTTTTCTTATTCAGTTAACTCAGCCTAGGATCAGACGTAGGTACTTGCAACAGAGCAGTTCTTTTAAGGTAATTTTACTATAGCATTTTTTTTTTTTTAGAGACAGAATCTCACTCTGTCCCCTTCAGTAAAGTGCCATGGCGTCACAGCTCACAGCAACCTCCAGCTCTTGGGCTTAAGCAATTCCCTGGCCTCAGCCCCCTGAGCAGCTGGGATACCATAGCATTTTTTAAGGCACTTGGAAACGGTCAATGTGACATTTACATCCTGGCATATGAAAATTATTCCAGGAATACCATGCAGATAAAATCAAGAGTTTCTTATGAAGTTGAGTCACTTGAGGCCTGGAGCCAGAATACAGTTAGTTTGGGTCAAGTATAATTGAGAACAAAAACGAAAAGCTACCTCAGTCTCACTAACTTCCCTTCATTGTTGAGGGTTTTGTTTCTTCAAGAAGTCTTCCCTGATCCCACCCCCACCACAGTGTTGGTTAGGCCTTCTGATTACAGGTTCTCATGGCAATCGAGCTCCTGTTCCATGCACTTAATACAATTATAATTATTTGTGAAATTATTTGTTAATGACCATCTCCCCCACTAGACTGTGAATTCCATTCAGGGGAGAGGAAGCTGAGATCCCCTGTCCCTGGCCCATAGTAGGCCTTAAGTAAATTACCAATGGAGTATGTAATGGCATAACTAAACAAGTAAGTAGAAGGAACTGTATTGGGTCATTGACAATGGCTGGGATTTAAATTAGCAAAAATTTCAGGTAACTAGTAAGTGGCAAAGCTCAGATTCAAAGCCCAGTCTGTCTGGCCTTGAGGGTTCATAATATTCTCCAGTGATAAACTGAATTATTCTTCCTAACTCTGCACTTCCTCCCTCTGATAGAATTATGATCCGCACCCTTTGCAACATGACTTTGCGGGATCTCACACTAGGAAGGCAGAGTATACTGACTGATCCACGACTTTGGGCTCAGCCTGAGACTTGCTTTGGCAATAAAAATGGAAGACGTCGCTCTGCACCATGGTTGAGCTGAGACCCTAACTTTAAGGGGCACAATAATCACCAATCCTTCTAAGTTTACACGTTCTACCATAACAAGCAAAGGACCCAGAGGACTGCTTTTCCATTACCCTAGATTTGAAATAACATATACAGTGAATCAGAACTTGACTCAACATCTAGAATTCAGTCTAGCCCCAGAAGTTGATCCATACCCAACCTGCACACCAGTGAGAAAGAAAGAAATGTTTGCAACTGGAAGCCACTGAGATTTGGGGATTGTGCAACATACAGTATTTTTACAGCAAAAACCTAACTAATATGCCTTCTCAGTGGCAGGGTTGCAATTTATTCTTAGTCCTTCTGGCATCCAGCACACAGCTGGGTACACAGCGGGTGCTTATCAATACTTTTGAATTAAACCCAGTAAATGAAGTTCCTTAGGGAGACTGGTAAAATGGACAAAACTTTTAACATTGCTTTCAAAGCAAAGCTTTCTAAAATGAAGGAATGGCCAGCCACGCTGACTCACATCTATGATTCTAACACTCTGAGAGGCCAAGGCAGGTAGATTGTCTGAGCTCAGGAGTTGGAGACCAGCCTGAGCAAAAGAGAGATCCCATCTCTACTAAAAAAAGAAAAATTGGCCAGGCATTGTGGTGGGCACCTGTGGTCCCAGGTATTGGGAAGGCTGAGGCAGGAGGAAAACTTGAACTGAGTAGTTTGCTGTGAGCTAGGCTGACACTATGGCACTCTAGTCTGGGCAACAGAGTGAGACTCTGTCTCACAAAAATAAATGAATGAGGGTGGCGCCTGTGGCTCAAAGGAATAGGGCACCGGCCCCATATACTGGAGGTGGTGAATTCAAGCCGGGCCCTGGCCAAAAACTACAAATAAATAAATAAATAAAAATGAATGAATGAATACATAAATAAATAAAATGAAGGAATTTAATAACAAGTGGCTAAAGAGAGAAACTTTGAGAAAGTGGGCTTTTTTTGTGGCTAGGGCTGAGAGCCTCTTCTGGCATTTGAAATATAAGCAGATGCTTTGGAGACACCTGATCTGACTCCTGTCAGATAAACCGATCAAGCATTCAAGATGCAGAATCTCCTCTGCCAGTTGACCTTAGGGAAAAAACTCTCAAGATGTTGAATCAAATCTGCTGAATGACTTTTCTCTTGTTATCTGGTGTTTCTACAGCAAATGATACAACTCAAAAATAAGTAGCTGGAAAAAAAAGCTAAACTTTCAGCACAATCTTTCTTCTGCAAAGACTTGCATTCAATTTAACTTCATAAACCTACATTAAGTAACTACGAAGTGCTCCAGAAATGGACGAAAAGTAATATCTGAGATATGCGCCACTATAAATTCTTTTGGAATCAGGCAGAACGTAAAAATATATCTACCCACATACCTACCCCCAAATTTCTCAACTTAAATGCATACAATTCTTTGCAACTTATAAAACATTTCTTGGCTCGGCGCCTATAGCTCAACCGGCTAAGGCGTCAGCCACGTACACCTAAGGTGGCGGGTTCGAATCCCCAGCCCGGACCCGCCAAACAACAATGACGGCTGCAACCAAAAAATAGCCGGGCGTTGTGGCGGGCGCCTGTGGTCCCAGCTACTTGGGAGGCGGAGGCAAGAGACTCGCTTGAGCCCAGGAGTTGGAGGTTGCTGTGAGCTGTAATGCCACGGCACTCTACCCAGGGGGACAGCTTGAGGCTCTGTCTAAAAAAAAAAAAAAAAAAAACATTTCTTCACACATTCATCTCATTTTTTCAAGAACATATGAGAATTTTGCTATGTTTTTTTATCCCCATCTCTGAGATGAGGAAACAGAGGCTCAACCACATGAAGAATGCCTGGTAGAAAGTGATAGATCAGGCGTCCTCAAACTATGGCCCGCAGACCACATACGGCCGGCCTAGGACATTTATCCAGCCCGCTGAGTATTTTTGCTGCCCCTGCATGTCCTGCTTAGCAGCTGACTCATCCCAGGCCCGCAGTCGGGCTCTCCAATGGTCTGAGGGACAGTGAACTGGCCCCCTCTTTAAAAGGTTTGAGGACCCCTGTGGTAGATGTTTGACCCTTGCACCAATACCACAGTGCCTCATTCCCAAGACTTAAACATTTAAAAATATAAGAGAAAGTTCTCTGACGTTCCCCCAAAGCATCAACATACCACTCCCGGGAATATTTTCTGGAGCCGGTCTGCTGCAGCCAGAGCCTTGGGCTTCCCACCTCCTAAGCAATCTTCAAACTCATACAGAGGCTGCCTTATAGGATTGGAGTAGGAGATCTTGGCATTGTCCACAAATGTGATGTGTCTGACGCCCCAACCCTGTGTGGGAACAGATCATGGTGTGTTTTTGATGAATATTTCACAGGGCATATCTGGTGAAATCATGAAAGAGGTGTTGCTTTGGGGCAACCTGAGAAACTCAAAAATACAAGAAACTTCAGATACAAAACTATAGAAATTCAGTTTTTGATAAGTAAAATATGGACTTCCTTTAAGAACCAAAAATAATTATATACTCACTGCCTGGTTTCCTGTAGTAATGAGATTTATTAAAATATAAGAGTGGGTCAGACTAATAATTCATTATTTTTGACAGAAGCAGCAGAGAAAGACTTGGAGGTCAATCCCAACAAAACCGTCTACATTGCTGTTTTATTTTTTATTTATTTATTTTGAGACAGAGCCTCAAGCTATTCTCCTGGGTAGAATGCTGTAGCATTACAGCTCACAGCAACCTCCAACTCCTGAGCTCAAGCAAGTCTCCTGCCTCAGCCTCCCTAGTAGCTGGGACCACAGGTGCTCACCACAATGCCTGGCTATTTTTTTTGTTGCAGCCGTCATTGTGGTTTTGGCGGGCCCAGGCTGGATTCGAACCCGCCACCTTAGGTGTATGTGGCTGGCGCCTTAGCCACTTCAACCACAGGCGCCGAGCCTACATTGCTGTTTTAAAAGACTTAGCAATAGCCCCTAAGTATCTTTGATTTCCCTTAATGAATAAGGGAAGTTAATAAGTAGTTATTAAGTATAAATAATAACTACTTTTGAAGCTCATTTAAAGCCTAAAGTAAGTCCTCAGATTGAGTTAGAAATTATTTCCCACTGTACAATATTATGGAATATTCTGTACTATTTCTCTAAGAGGCAGAGCCTTATTAATGACCTAGAATTTAGGGAACAATTCTACATTCTTAGAAATAGTTTGTGTGATTTTATAAACTTCAATTACGTGTCCTATAAAGCTTTATACAATCAGACAATTTTAAAGTTGGATGGGATCTCTAAATCCTTAGTCTAACCACTTTGTTTTACTGATATGGAAACTGAAGCCCAGAAAAGGTAAGTGGCTTGCCTATGGTCATGTGATTGATGATGAGGCATGAACGAGGTCGCCAGAGTCGCAACCAAATGAAGATGCCTACTTTGGGGGTTGGGGTGGGGTGGGGTAGAGTGTACTTCAGTTGACAGTTTGTAAGCAGAGCAGCCTGAGAGAAGTCCTGCCATGACTGGCTGCAGAATTAACATTGAATTCTTATTTCAATATCCTTCCATTAGGAACCGTAGGATTCAATTATAATGCTGGCTTTAGAGGGACAGTCAACAAGGACCCAAGATTCATTTTCAGGGTTGAGGATGACAGATCAGGATCCACCTTTCATAAGCACAGTTTAGACTGGCTGTTTGTACACAGACTAGTAACCTTTTGGTCTACCCACCCAGTTTTATTAAATTACTTGCACAAGCTAAGCAACCTACCATGGAAGAAATAAAGGCATAGAAAGTCCGAGTCACTTGTGCTTGCTTTGGGGATATTTACTTCTGAAGTAGTTTTACATTCCTCAAAGCAACTGCTGAGTGGATAGCGAAGGGAGCGGTCTGGAAAGGTGCTGCCCAGTGGTAAGAAAGCCAGACACATCACAAACACACCACGGGTTAGTTACATGCAGGTGTATTTGCACTTAACTTTCAGCTTCCTAGAATGCTACACAGTTTTTATGGCTAATACAAAGATTGGAGAAAATTATAATGTTGAATGTGGATGACAATGTGGTAGTGAAAAAACCATCTTATTGGTTAACAGTGTTAAACTAGTGTCATTTGTCTGGAAAGCAATTTGGCAATACGCTTCTAGAATCTTAAAAATATTTATATCCTATGACCTACTTCCAGCAATTTATCCTATGAAATAATCTGACATACTGACAGAGATGCAATCACAAAGATGTTCTTTGTAACACAATTTATAATAGTAAAAAACTGGAAACGTTACTGCTAACCATTAGGGAAATGTTTCAGTGAATTGTACTTGATCATCTGAGGAAGCCAGACGCAGCAGTGTGCACCTGTAGGACTGAAGTGGGAAGACAGCGGTTCATGCCCAGCCTGGAGAACACAGCAAGACCCTGTCTCCAAGGCCGAGTGCGGTGGCTCATTCCTGTAATCCTGGCATGCTGGAAGGCCAAGGTGGGTGGACTACATGAGCTCACAAGTTTGAAACCAGCCTGAGCAAAAAAGCGAGACCTTATCTCTACTAAAAATAGAAAAAACTGGGGCAAGAGGATCGCTTGAGCCCAAGAGTTGGAGGCTGCTGTGAGCTATGATGATGCCACAGCACTCTACCCAGGGCAATAGCTTGAGACTCTGTCCAAAAAAAAAAAAAAGTTTGCGTCATAGCAAAGCATGCATTTCAAACTACGCAACACGTTTCATCTAACTTTAAAACTTAATTGACATTAAATACATTGGTATTCTTTTAAATTTTCTCTTTTGAGAAATCTTTCCATATTCCTAAATGTATGTTTGTGTTTTCTCCTTTTTTCTCTTATTCAGCCTTGCCAAGGAGGCTTGTCATTTTGTCAGCCTTCTGGAGCACTAAAAACTACTAAATAATTTATTTATCCGTCCTATAATTGTTTATTTTGTTTTGCTCTCAGACTCATTAACCCCGACTTTTTTCTTTATTAACGCCTTCCTTTTGTGTAATTTATTTTATTGTCTCTTTCTAACCTCTAGAATTATTAGGTACTTAGCTTTTCTTAACATTTTCAAGAATTATAAAGTCAGCGTAGACCCATGATAGAAAATTTGTAAAGTATAAAAATCATACAAGAGGAAGGCGACACACATCTTCCTATCACTTTTCTACTTACCTCCTTCTAGTGTTTGTTTAATAAATAATTGTCTCTCTAACATGGCAGTGCTACATCTAGGGCTGTTTTCCTAGAGAGATAATCCTATGGCTATGTCAACATACAAGTACAAGGATGTTTTCTAATAGAGTCTCTAATAGGGAAAAAAAAAAAAAGGAAAAGAATCTGAACTTGCTTTAAATATGCCAACATCATCTCTGGAAAGATCCAGATGGCATACTGATCTACAAAGTCTGCTTAATTCTAGGAAGTAGGACTTAGGATGATTTAGAAGAAGATTTTCTGTTTCTCTCTTCCAATAAAAGCATACGTTTCTTTTATAATGAAAAAGACACTGAGAAAAGAAAAAAGAAAGGGAGGAAGAGTGGGGGGGGGGGCCAGGGGGAATCTGGGAGATGGAAGGCAGTTGTGTAAATGAAACAAGAAGGGAAGCCATAGCTTCAGAGGGGCCACTTGGCCCCCACAAACTTACCATTAACGTCCTGGCTACGTTACAACCCAAGGTGCCGGCTCCAAGCAGCAGACATTTGGTGGACACGACCTTGTCCAAGTCTAAAGTAGGGACCAACCTCCAACACATCAATTTGAGATTTAGATCCACTGATGACTCAGCTAACCTAGAAAATGAGAGATTTATTTATTCAGTCGTTGACTCATTTATCCCCACAAAGATACAGGTATGAAGTAGCTATGGGAGAAAATGAAATACACAATAAGGCAATTGTGACCAAAGGGATAAAGCTTAGAAGGGTGAGCAAGGAGGAGAAAGGTTCCCACACAGAACTCAGACCACTGCAGTCATCTGCTGCTGCTAGTGGTGGGCCACAAACTTAATACTGAGCTCCTAGTGGCCAAGGTAAAAAGAAAAACAAGGCCAATTCTAACAGTCAATGTGTCCACGAATAAAAACACACCAGCTGATGATTAAAAGGAAAGTTTTTACTAGTAGTGAAAACAGAAATTTCCTCCATGTCTCTTTAATATTCACCCTCAAATACAGCACTGGTTTCCCTGAAATACTTCTTGCAACGTCCTTCAATGTGGGCCAAAAGGACAAAGCTACAGGGCAATGAATAAAGAACCAAAGGGGGCTACGGGCATACCGTCTGAAAGTCTGAACTTGAAGCAAGAACAAGTGTCTAACAGAGGTGTCCAAACTGGGGCCCCCGGGCTGCATGCAGATTACCTGAGGACTGTTCTGTTTATCTGTGGTGTCAGATATCACAAGAAGAATGCACAGGCCTTTTCTCTGGCTCATCAACTTTCATTAGTATTTGTGTATTTACTACATGGCCTAAGACAACTCTTATTCTTCCCATGTGTGGCAGAAAAGAAAAAAGGTCGGACACTACTGGAAGAACAGATGAACTGTGTGCCCTTCAGGATATCCATCGCTAATACTGATTCCTACATCCAAACCTCAGAGTCACGTAGCAAAGAGCAGAAGAACACTTCCTGTCAATATGAACAGCAGCCCTGAACTGAATTATGGAACACGGTGTTGGCCTGACAGAACCTGGTGTATGAATAATCCCCCTGGAGAAAGTGGCTCCCCAAATATACCTTTTAGGGTCCATACAGTCACTGAGGTTCACCATCCTCGGTCCCATGCCTCCTTTCTGATTCTTTTCCCATCCAACTGCTTTAGGACAATCTTAAGGCAAATAAAATGCTAAGTTTAATGAAAGAAGGGAGAATAAAAACAAACAAGTCAAGCAGTAAGCTTGCTTAAAAAACGGTCAACGTTCACGACAGCCCACCAGTGTTAAGCTTTTGGTTCGCTTCTTTCCCAAAGCAGTCCCAGTGCCTGCACTTCCATCTACGTGTACAGCTGCCTCCTCATCTTCCTCAGCTCCTGGGAATCTTGTTTACAGCCCATCACACTGGAGTACAGTCTCATATAGGAGCTTCTGAAATAGCCCTTAATTCTGGCCCAACGTGCCTCAGTTCCAATGTTACCGGAAGGTGCCCCTCAAAAAGACACGTCTGGAGTAGGTATCACCCCGTGGAGGGCTCTCTATGGAAGCAAGACAAGCCAACGTAACTGCAGCACTGACATTCCTATGGGGAGGGGACCCGCTAGCTCAGTGCCTCCCTCCTGTTGCCATCCTTACCATGTCCCTCTGGCTCAGCCTCTCCATACCTGTGTACAGACTGCAGTCCCAGGTGCTCACGGCCCTCTGTTAAGTTGCCCTCTCCTTTAACCTCCTTTAATCTTTATCTGTTCTGAATTACCCCTTCCCTGAGTTATCCATTCTCCACCGCCCTCTTTTAATTCCTGCTACGGAAGCCTCTGTAACTCTAATTCCAACAGTTCCTGAAGTGCTCTCAACGGACAAGGATCCTGTGGCTAACCAGACTTGGAAATGCTTCTATATTTATAACTATATTTTATATCCAGTCCCATTACCACCCAAATCTGAAGAGTCACATTGCACGTGAGAGAGATATAAGCTCTTCACAGCCTGCAGAAAGATACCCCTTTATTGGTTTACATCTTCCAAACTTACAAGGCTCTCCTTATCTGCCTCCATCACTCTGTAACACCAATTAAAATCTCACAGGACACATTCAGGGAAATGCTGCTCTATCCTATTATTGCAAAAATCTCTTAAAGATCTCAATTGCTCTGTGCCACTCCTGCTACCTCCTCACATTAATGAAAGGCTTACTGCCCTTGGTGGTGCCATCGTCTTATAGATCTCGCTAGTAAGGGCCATCCACTGTCTTCCAGCCCTGTATCTCAAGACCTCTATCATTCTCCCTTTCTCACTGAATCTCACTGTTCACAATAAAGCCTCGATTCCTAATCAGAGAACTCACCCAACCACAACTTACACTTCCAGAATTACCTCCAATGTTTGCTTTAAGTAACAGTCTCTGAAGGGACAGAAACTCCTTGACTTAAAGATGTATTTTTAGTAGGAGGAATTTTGTTTTTGTTTCTAATTGTACACTGGTTTTTTGGCTATACTCCTTCCCCCCCTTTTATTTTTTGGAGACAGGGTCTCACTCTTTTGTCCACGTTAGAGAGCACTGGGATCATCATAGCTCACTGTAGCCTGAAACTCCATAATCAATAACTCCAGCCTAGGTTTTCTCCTGTTACAGTTATAAGACAAAAATAAAGTATCATTTAAAATTAAAAGATCTCCACACTCAAACTCCACTGGGCTGGTGCCTCTAGTCCCAGGTACTCAGAAGGCTGAGGCAGGAGGATCACTTGTGCCCAGGAGCTCAAGGCCAGACTAGTGAACACAACAAGACCTCCATCTCTTTAAAAAGAACAAAACTAATAATGAAAAAATATTGACAATAACACTTAATTTACCATACTTGCCCCCATATAAGCTATACTCCTATAATATACCACAAATTAATGAGAGGATTTTTTTAGGGGAGCATCAGGTGCTATTCTCCCACAGCTCACAAACTGGGAGAAGCACACGAAGGATCAGAGGGAAGATGAATGGGGGGATCTCCTCCCAGTCCCAGCAGTAGCTGCTCCCTCTGTTTGCCAGGTGCCAGGATAGACTGTGCCAGCGATGGAGAGTGGGTGTGGCTGCACCCAGAGGGAGCCAAAGAAGGATATTTAAAATAATACTTCATATGCCATTGTGCTTATGGGGTATCTTAGAAATACTCAAAAGTACTACCATACTAATACCTTCAGCCCACATTATGATATAAAATAACTCTTCATAAAGTTTTATTTACAGCTAAGAGGGAAAATATTAATTTATATGAAAAACAAGTTCATTTGCCTTTCCTCAACTAAAAAATCTTCATTTACTATAGAAAAATGTTTTCAGTGGAAATGCATGGTGGTTCCCAAATTTGAATATCAGCAGTGCCAAGCATTTAGCCTTACTACAGAGAGCACCAAGTGAAAGTAACTCAGTGACTTTATCATAAAAATGAAAAGTACTTTCCCACAGGGTGGTCGGCAGGATTAAGTGAGCACCACTGGAAGGTGCCTGGCAATACCAAACTCACATCACTTTTTAATTAACTCCCACTGTACTCCCCTAGAATACCTTTAAGTATGGTTTAATAAAACAAAGGTATGGCATGTAAGCTGACAATATACAGATGCTATTTTAGAATGTGCCAGAAGAGGGTGCTAAATCCAATACATTCCAATCCAATCTAAAGACAGCAGAAAGGCAATGGATTTCTTAATGCTCTGAACTAAAAACAGCTCCTCCTTTGACTGATCAAGCAGAGAACCCTGTCAATCTCTCCCAGAAGTCTATTTAAAACACAGTGCCAGAGCCTAGAATTGCTGATGAAACATCGCCTGAGTCAATCCTGAATTCTTCTGACTTTTGCACTCCAGGAAAGATAACTCAGAGGAGATTTTGACAACCTCACCCCTCCCTTCCCTATGGATTAAAGAAAAAACTATGCCTTGGAACCATGGGGATGTTTCGAGGAACAGACTGAACATAGGTGAAAGTTGTGCAGAGAGCATGTAAATCACATGGATATGAGGGATTATCTCAGCAGGAGGTATAAGAGTACCAGGCTTCACATGAGATGGGAAATCAGGGTAAAATAGTATTTCTTAAGCACGTGTGGTATGCCAGACATTGTGCTCTGTCTTTGACACAGGGTACGAGTTCCTCATAAGGAACATTCCTCCAGTTGGCCATTAGTATCCTTATTTTACTCAAACTTGCGTATGTATTCTATCTCTGTGACATACATAAATATACATATGTGTACATACGCAAAAATATATACACATACACACACACATATATATCTCTATAGATAAAATGTCTATTGGCTAAGTTTCTCAATTTACAAAACAGAAATAATAGCTGATGTCTTTCACATAGGATCAAATGAAAATATTAAATGTGGAAAGAGAAAAGGCACTTTTACTGACCACTTTATTATATGGAGAATAGAATCCCACACAACTGTAAGTATACAATAAATAAATAAATATGTAAATGCCTTAATACTTCATCCTCCACAAATGGAGGATGTATTAAACAAAAATAAAAGTAAAAACTGGGCGGGGGAGGAAATCATCAAAACTAAAAAACCTGGCTGGAGAAAATTTCCTAGTGACAATCTTTGCCTTTGTTCCAGGCTGAATAGCAGAGTGTGCCCTCTGCTCAAAGTAGGTGTTCCCACTAGCAAAGAAGAAGGAGTTGTACTTTTCTCTCCCTTCTGCTGCCATTGTGAAATAATGAAAGGAAAGTAAACCTGATTCATTTTTGATAAATGATAATTATATGCATTCTCAAAGACCGGCAAATTACCTGGGCTAAATGCCATTTCTGGAAGCTTCACTTCGAAGATGATGCTGTGGGCAATGTCTCTCGCCCCCTGCATGGTGCGGTCGCGGAAGCAGACGACTTCAACAGACTGGAAACTGCTACTCCTGTTGTCACATCCGGGATTTTTATTTTATTTTTTTATTTTTTTAAGGGAAGAAAAAAAAGAGCTCACATAAGAGCTTCAGCAAAGCAGTTGGAGAGATTTCAATTCACTGTAATTATGCCTCTCTGACACCCCTGGGGGATGGCCTTCACTTTTGAGAGATTCTGAACATACTCACATATGCTTCCTCCTTCCAAGTATTTAGAGGAAGGCTGAACAATGAATTGGCTGTGATTTCACTCTAGGTGAATTGTATATAACAATCACATTGAATATAAATAATTCAGACAAATGAATCTTTTAAATACAGGAAAAAAATGCTCATAAGACATTTAAAAAGAACCTTTAAGACAAGGGTTCTTCTGGTTCCCTTTCTCTCCATGTGAAATAGCACCTCAGTTAGATCAATAGTTATGAATCCTATTTGCACTCTACAGACTTACCACCTGGCTAATTATAGGTATCTCTCTAGGGAAAAATCTATAATTTATCTACCTTCATAATTTTAAATAAACATTTTTATGTAAGTAAAGCAGAGAAAGAAAACACAAATCCCAAATATAAAGGAACCTGCCTCATGACTTCTCTCAGTCATAAACCACCCTCTTCCAAAGTAATAACTACTCTAACTTCTAAGTCTATGCATTCACTTTGCCTATTTTGAATTTTACACAAATGAAATCACAGAATGTGTATTCTTTGGAGTCTAGCTCATTTCACTCAATATTGTTTTTAAGTTTACCCATGTTGATACATGCATCAGTAGTTCACTAACATTCGTGGCAACATGGCCTTCCATTGTAAGGGGTTCTCTACAATTTATTCTCTATTTCATTATTTAAGGACATGTGGGTTATTCCCAGGTTTTGATTAAGAATAATGTTGCCATAAACATTCTTATATATGTGTTTTGCTTGTATTTACATGTGCATTTCTGTGTATAATATACTCAACAGTAACATCGCTGAGCCATAGATATTTTTAACTCTGGTAGATTGCCAACCATTTTTCAGCAGAGTTCCAATTGCTCCACACCTTTTACAATACTTGGTATGATTATTTCTGTTAAGTCCTTTTGGTAGATATGTATTAGCATCTCATTGTGGTTTTCATTTTATTTCTTTGATGACTAATGATGTTGAGTATCTTTTAAAATATATATTGACTTTTCAGATACCCACTGTTTTAATTATTAGTATTTTAGGGTTAGAAAAAATGATGACAGTAATAAGAGGAAAGTTCTCTCTGAAGGCAAACCAGATAGCTGAAAAGGAGGGCTTCAGAATTTCAGCAATAGGACCTCACCTTACCCTCATGTAAAATCTCTTTAGCACAGTACAATCAGTATGATCTGCAGCTTCCTAACAGACCTGGCCAAAGGCTCACTAGTATGAAAATTGGGTTCTGACTGATTTATTAATTTGTTATCTTGTTTTCATGCTATAAATGTAAAAATACATTTGGGAAAACAGAGATACAGACAGAGGCAGACACCTTGTTGAAAACATACAGACAAAGACAGACAGACACACTCTTATAAATACCATCTGTGGGCTGCTAGGACCAAAACATTCCTCAAAGGCCATCCAGGGTACTGGGCTAAGTTACAGGGATCATATACACCAATTGTTACCTGTGAACAGAAGAGACTTTCGAGTGAGTCAAGTATCATGTCAGATTCACAATACAGACATTGCTGGTACTTCCTCTTCACTTTGTATGCTTTCTGTAAATAATTACACACTTGGTAAAGGGCTAGAAGGAACAGAAGACAGCAGAAGGATCTCACACTGGACTAGAAAACTTCTTGATAAAATGAGCTGTCAAATTCTTCCCTGCACCTTCTGTGCCTGGCATTAGGCCTGGCAGAGAGTAAGAATTAGATACATTTAGGAGGAAGAAAAGACTAGAAGGAAGACAGGGACGGAGGGAAGACAGTCAACAGTCAGGGCTTACATAGAGAAAAATCTTCCTTTAAAGAAATACAATGAAATAAATGTATTTGTGGAAATGACTATGTTAATGAGAAAATTAAAGAAGGGCCATTACCATTTTAAGTCTACAGTCAGATCAAATTAAAAAGACAGTTGCCCTGGACAGTGCTAATATACACTTTCTCCTACTCCTTTTTCCATCCCTCCCCTCTAATCCTGACCTCCCTCTAGAAACTCTATTCAACTTAAAATACCATTTCTTCAGTGCAGACTTCCTTTGGCAGAAGGGGAGACTCTGGAGAGAAGGATAGAGGGTCATGGTGTATGGTACACCTCTTGGGGCTAGGACACAACTATAAGAGGGACTTTACCTAACAAATGCAATCAGTGTAACCTAATTCTTTGTACCCTCAATTAATCCCAAATTATAATAAAAAAAATTAGCCACTCTGTACTCCTTGCTTCCATGGCTCTTTGTAGATTACACATAACTTTTTTCCACTTTTTCTATCTCCTTCCTCTCAAAGACAATGTATGCCCTGCACCCACATCTTGATTTCTAAACACCAATTTCCAAGACAAGGAGTAAGGGCTCCTAGGACACACTGCTAATCCGAAGCCTCAGGCAGGGAAAATGTAAAATGAGACTGGAGCATCTTGTAGTACCAGAAAATAAGAAGGTACTCAAATGGGGCCACACCATCCATATCAGGGAGCCACCTGAAAGACTCTTAGTGGCCAAGGTGCAAACAATTGGAGCAAAAAAGTAAGGTAGTGCTTGATTATAACCCAAAACATAAAATGAATATCAATGAGCCCACACTGATATAAATAATGGAATAAATGAAGGTGAAGGTCATAAGTTTTTTCAGCTTTGAGCTAATCTTCCTGTTTCTGCAGGGTGTATTTGCTCAAGTAGTTAGCTCAGTTATGAAAGGGGATGGGAAGAGATCTTCAAATTGTTTGTCAAATATTTTTTGACTTCAAACTGTTTGTTAGTATTTTTACAAAATGAGGTCACTCTGACCTCACATTGGGATAATTTATTCCTTAAAGATTTCCAACAAAACACATAGATACTGCTCTTCTGGAGAAAAGGTAATCCTTCCCCTCCTTGAGGACAGCTGGACTTAGTGACTCACTTATCGAGAAAAAAATGTAAATTTATAGTAGAGAAACCTGGAAAACCAAGTGATTGATTTAACATTATCAGAATGGCAGTGGATATCAGGTACCCCTGGACATGATGTGGCAAAAGGGTGCTTCGCTCAGTGGGATTCTTTTCAAAAACCCATAACCCCAGCCTGATCACAAAAACATATCAGACAAACCTAAAGGGAGAGACACTGTAAAAAAATAACTGACCAGCTTATCTTGCCCACAGCCAAGACCACCAAAACTAAAGAAAGTCTGAGAAACTACTACAGACCAGAGGAGACTAAGCCCTGACAATAAAATGCAATGTAGCACCCTGGACTGGATCCTGGAGCAGAAAGAGGATGTTACTGGGAAAATCCAAATAAAGTTTAGTGTTAATAATAATGTGCTAATGTTGGCTTCCCAGTTCTGGCAAATATACCGTAATAATACACGGTAATAACGTTAGAGAAAATTGAAATGGGGTAAAGGTATGTGGGAACTCTCTGTACTATCTTTGCAATTATCTTCTATACATCTAAAATTATTCCAAAATTTAAAAAAAAAAGAAGACAATGAACATCTTGGGAGCAGGGAGTATTAGTGAGAGACATTAATATATAGCAGATACTTAGTGAATGTTTGTTGAATGATAAAAAGGATGAATGGATAAATAAATGGATGGATGGATGAGTGAAAGGAGGTAATGGATGGAAATTAGGGGAGAGGGAAGAAGGCTGGCAGAGAAACATGAATTAATCCACAGTTTTCCTTTATAAGCACTTATAAGCACAGCATGGGTTAAATAAAAAGATGTTATCTTTTTGTTTAATCTACATCCAGTTAGTTCTGTAAGGATGGAATCAGCCCAAATACTTTCACTTAGTCCCCATGATACTTGGTTAGTGTCAGCCACAAAGCAGGAGCATATTCAGATTAAAAAAAGAAAGAAAGAAAGACTACTCACCATCTAGAGAGAACTACCCTTAACATCTTGGTGTATAACCACCCATAACTTTAATTTTTGCATAAATATATTTTAATTACTGCAACTTTTAAACAAAAATAAGATCATGCTATAGGTAATGTTTTATAGCTCTTATGTTGTAAATTCTCTTCCAGGTCCATAAATGTTGTTCTACAACCATTGTGTGTAAGAGCTGAATGGCATATAATTGTATTGATGTACCAAACATTTTTCTATTTCTCTCTCTATATTATTATTATTTTTTTTTGAGATAGAGTCTCCTAATCTGTCATCCTGAGTAGAGTGCTGTGGCTTCATAGCTCACAGCAACCTCAAACTCTTGGGCTCAAGCGATTCTCTTGCCTCAGCCTCCCGAGTAGCTGGGACCACACAACACCCAGCTAGTTTTTCTATTGTTAGTAGAGGTGGGGGTCTCACTCTTGCTCAGACTGGTCTGAAACTCCTGAGCTCAAGCAATCCACCAACCTCAGCCTTACAGAATACTGGGATGACAGGTGTGAGCCACCACACCAGGCCTCTATTTCCTTTTGAAGGACAATTAAGTAGTCTTCATCTATGGTCAATAAATCTCTGAAATGAATTTCAGTATTGCTTTTATCAGGTAATTATTGATTATTTCAAAGATATTCCTTAAAAATATCTGCTGCCTTCTGTTACATAACATTTTCATATTTCTAAAATTGAAGGTTTTTCTGTCCAGAAGCATTTTCATGTCTAAAATGTAGACAGATAAGATTCACATTTAATACAAACAAGTTCATATTTAAGGTTAATCAGTCCGGAAATACAAGGTATATTTATCTGATATTTCTTTTTCTTTTTTGAGACAGAGCCTCAAGCTGTCCCCTGGGTAGAGTGCTATGACTTCACTGCTCACAGCAACCTCCAACTCCTGGGTTCAAGCGAGTCTCCTGCCTCAGCCTCCCAAGTAGCTGGGACCACAGGCATCCGCCACAACGCCTGGCTATTTTTTGGTTGCAGCCATTATTGTTGTTTGGCGGGCCAGGGCTGGATTTGAGCCCACCACCTTGGGTGTATGTGGCTGGCGCCTTAGCCACTTGAGCCACAGGCACTGAGCCGGTATTTCTTTTTCTACAGGGAGATAAAACATTATCAACACCCAGGGAACCTTTAAAGATCGCGTTAACCAAGACTGCTGCCAGTAGCCTCTTGTTAAATGAGGCGCCTAGGGCAGCAGTTTTTAAATCAAAATCATGGGAGATAGAATATTACCTATTTCACCGAGTTGTAGCAAGGACTAAATGAGCTGACACTGAACACGAAAAGTTCTAGAATATACACAATGCTACTAACAACATTATCACTGACAGACTCAGAATCTTCAGTGGCGACCCCAGCCATCCATATCTTTATCTGTATCAAGCTTCTGAGTAATTCTGATGCAGCTGGTCCAGTCCATGGACTTGAATTTGGGAGCCATTTGAGAAGGTGGTCTTAGAGATAGAGAAAAAAAAAATCTCTGGGCTACTTTTCATTATCTCAAAAACTCTGGATTGGTTCTGTGTCTTCCCATGTTCCTCAAAATGTGGCCCATGCATCAGCGGCCTGCATGCATAAGCATCTCCTGGGAGGACCCCTCCCCAGGCCTGCTGGATCAGAGTCTGTATTTTAAAAAGAACACGGGGTATTCTTATGCCCACGATGGTTCAGAAGCACTGCTCTGATCCTCAACCCTCTATTGCCATGGTTCTCAAACATGCTTGGGCATCACCTGGGAAGCTTTCAAAAATACTGCTCTATATGAGTGCCACTTTCAGAGGTTCTGATTTAATTGGTCTGGGATTCAACTTGAGCATTAGTTGTTTTAAAAGATTCTCCAGGGGATTCTAATGTGTAAGCGGGTTGCCAATGCCTGCTTAATAATCAGCAGCAGAGTTCCTCCAAGTGTGGTCCACCACAGACCACCTGCATCAGAACTGCACAGAAGCTATATGAAATTGCACAACCTCAAGGCCAGCCACAGTAGTTCACACCTATAATCCTAGCACTCTGGGAGGCCAAGGCAGGTAGATTGCTTGAGTTCAGAAGTTCGAGACCAGCCTGAGCAAAAGCGAAACCCCCTCTCTAAAAATAGATGGTGTTGCGGTGGGTGCCTGTAGTCCCAGCTACTTGGAGACTGAGGCAAGAAGACTGCTTGAGCCCAAGAGTTTGAGTTTGCTGTGAACTATGTCACAGTACTCTAATGAGGGCAATTAAGTAAAACTTTGTCTCAATAAAAAAATAAGAAAAAAGACATTGCACAACCTCTCTGCCCTCACACACACACACACACCCCTCCAATCTGATCCCAGATCTCTCTAGGTAGCAATACCTAAGAGAACACTCATGTGATTTTTATTATACTTCATTGCAGTACTACCCCCCACACACAAAAGTCTTAAAATAGTATTCATTGCACCCTCCATTTTTTCCATATTGTGACTGTGATAATGTTGATCCACTGTATTGTCCTGATTCAAGTCACCATAGATGATAAAATGCACTTCCAAACTAAGCATTAAAAAAAGGGATAAACACGAATTCATATACATAATAATTGTAAGAAATTTGTGA